TCTTCTATGTTGCCTTCTGCTTCTTCATTCCCTCCATCTTCAGATGGATCTTGTAATGTCTCCTTGAATTTGACAATTGCCTTTTTTTATTCTTTCTTTGTCTTTTTACCAAGACAGAACTCCTCTGATGGATTTTTGACTAGTTGCTTGTTATCTATCTGTAACAGGAGACTCTTTTATTAGAGAAATGTTACAAAATTCACTGAGAGAAAAAAATCAAAATAAAGAAAATACTACAAAGAAAATAATTTAATTTGCCCAAGAATATAGTGAACATTGAAACTTAACAAATAAGACACAAAATCAATCTCGTGTTCCTGTGGGGAGAGATTCAAGAGAGTAAAAGTAAATTCATACAAATATGAATGTAATTACAAAACATTTTGAGAGTAATGCATGTTTCATGCTTTTGAGGAGGACCCTGCTACTAATTGTGCTCACCCCTGCATGCTTTATCACATAACAGAGTGACTTTTCACCTCCCCACAAAACACAACTGAAGTTAAAAAACCATAACCGTTATATAAATATGTATATACATAATATACAAGAATGTATATCTATCTATACTATTATGAAACAATAATTATGGTGGTATAATTATGGTGGTATAAACACTATGACAAATCAAGATTCAAACTTTGGGAGATAAATACACATATAATTCCTAATTTTTTGAAGTTATTTTATTATTACTAATATAATATAAATAGGTGCAACCGCACCTCTATCCAGATGCTTGGAGTAATTTTTAACCTTATTTAACTTCTTTAAATTGTAATTATAAATCTAATTATTTCACTTTTGCACACCGTATAATGTGTGCCAACACTACTAGTATACAATAAAAATGTCTCTTGGAGTTCCATAACTACTCCTCAACAAACCAGAGAGAAGAGAAAGCCTAGGCTTGACAACAATGGCGGAGAAATTGGATGATGAGGGTGATGGGAATGGCGGACGAATTGTAGCAGAAAGTGATGAAACAGCTATTGATTCTCTCTCTGGTATGCAACAGTTTCGCAGTGTTATCCAGATGTAAATTTCTTTTTCCCCTATTTCAATAATTTTTATAAAACAATTTATTTGGACCAAAAATAATATTTAGATAAATTATAAAATTTTAAAAAACATATGAAGTCACATAAATTTGACATAATACATTAATTTTTTTTTAATTTAAATTTAAATAGTAATACTCTGTCCTATTTTTATTAGTAATTTATTAATCGTGTATATGAAATTAATGTTGTTATCTAATTTATGTTGAAATTTATATTTTTACTTTTATGTTTACCCAGGCTATGCATTATTTCCGTTACTTTTAATCTTATTAAAATGGAGGTTGTGTAATAATGTCAAATTTATGGTATTTATTATATATATATATATATATTTTTTTAAATTTAAGAGTGGTTAATGTAATTTATTAAAACTAAATTGAATATTATATGTTTTGTTAGGTCTAGTAAAAAAAAATTTAAAACAAAAATGCTATAAATACTAATTTTTTTATCAAATACTTACGTGGATGTAGTAGGTCTCACACTTATGTAACTGTTTGATAAGAAAATTTATATTTCTAATACTGCTTCTTTTTTTTTTTTAAATGGCGGTGATTAGCTTGTCATGTCTCACAAAATATTTTCTAGTCAAAATAAGTATTTTTTTTCACATGAAAAAATATTTAAAAATATGTTTTTTTGCTTAAATAAATAAAATGTATCTAAAATTCAAGAAGAAAAATCTCACGAGATTCAATGCAGCACTAAAATTTTAAACATGTATAATTTGGACAAATTTCATCTACAGTTTCTATAATTTGTTTATTATGTTGGTTTAATTTTTATAATTTGTATAACTTTAATTTTATTTTTAAAATTTTCATGATATGTTAGTTTAGTCTAATTGAGAAATTATGTTTAGAAATTGAAGAGACAACATATTTCATTCACTCTTTTCAAAACTATTAAGAGCGTGACATACAATTTAAAATTACTCATTCTCTTTTAGATGCATCATTTTACTCTTAGTTTCTGTCTATGTTTTAGCAAGATATTATTACCGTCTAAATTTATAAATTGTAAAAAATTAAAAGTAAAATTGGTACAAATTACAAGAATGATGGATATAATTTGCCCAAGAATATAGTGAACATTGAAACTTAACAAATAAGACACAAAATCAATCTCGTGTTCCTGTGGGGAGAGATTCAAGAGAGTAAAAGTAAATTCATACAAATATGAATGTAATTACAAAACATTTTGAGAGTAATGCATGTTTCATGCTTTTGAGGAGGACCTTGCTACTAATTGTGCTCACCCCTGCATGCTTTATCACATAACAGATTGACTTTTCAACTCCCCCACAAACACAACTGAAGTAAAAAAATCATAACCGTTATATAAATATGTATATACATAATATATAAGAATGTATACCTATCTATCTATTATGAAACAATAATTACGGTGGCATAGACAAAGCCGGCGCTATAACTGTTTAAACTATGACAAATCAAGATTCAAACTTTGGGAGATAAATATACATATAATTTCTCATTTTTTAAAGTTATTTTATTATTACTAATATAATATAAATAGGTGCAACCGCACCTCTATCCAGATGCTTGGAGTAATTTTTAACCTTATTTAACTTCTTTAAATAATAATTATAAATCTAATTATTTCACTTTTGCACACCGTATAATGTGTAGTATACAATAAAAATGTCTCTTGGAGTTCCATAACTACTCCTCAACAAACCATCTTTTTACACCACCACCGTCCTATATTTATTGCCACCACTTCTTCCTCACCACCTTTGCACCTTAGTCCAACTCCATCAACTTTCAAATTCAAAGATACCCACAAAGAGAACATCAAAGGTTTGAGGAAATCAAGTTATGGGTTCACTTGTTGCAGGATTTTTGGTACTGTTTTTGGGAAGCATTGAAGTGGGCTCTGGAAAGAGCCAAGCCTACACCATGAATTACATTACTTGGGAGGATATGAAGGTGGATTTGCAGAAAGAGAGGTTGGATTTGAACGAGGAACAGAATCGAAGCCGAGTAATCGTTGTTGATCAGAATGGTAAGGGAGATTCAGTTACAATACAAGGTGCAGTTGATATTGTTCCTCTGCTCAATTCACAGAGAGTGAAAATTTACATTCATCCTGGAATCTACAGGTTTGTATGTATTTATGCATATAAATATGATTGTCAATGAGAATAAACTCCACAGTTAGCAATTTTTCTCTCTTTCTAAGGTGATTTCTCTTCTATTTCTTTTCTCTCTTTGGTTGATAAATGTGGGGTTGCATAGGGAAGATGGGGACGCGAAAAGTGGGGACGTGGGTATTGGAAGTTATGGAATATCCATTCTAATTTCTATATATTGATTTTGAAGCTACCTTCAATATTTAATTTTTTTTTTGTAATTATTATCTTTGCATAAGAGTATTTGTAAGTTATATAAAGAATTTCAAACAAGGGAAAATGTATTTCACCATTTTATATTTTAATTTTTTTTGTCACTCATATTTATGAAATAAATAACATCTATAAGACCGATCATATATATATAAAAATATTAGAAAAAAAATAGAACCCGTTATATGACATGAAGACACGTAAAAGGCTAATAGTTCGAGTGAATTGTTTGGGTTATAGGATCTTGTTTTTGTTCAAATTGAAAGAAGTCTAATCTGGTTATGTTGGGTTTGTGAGGCCTAAGGTGGGTCTCATGTTCTTATTATTTTGTAAATTTCTGTGTAGGACATTTATTTAAAAATCACATTTATTCAATAATTGAATTTATATAATTTCATCATATTTGTTTTTAAAAAATAATAAATGGTCTATTGTAAATTAAATTTTTTTTTTTTTTTTCATTCATATGTAATGACTACCTTTTGTGATCCTTTCATTTAAACTAAAGCATGACAAATGATTTCAAAAATACCACTATCTTTTTTTTTTCTTTTTCTTTTTTATATTTAATTTTGTAATGTTATGCTGATGATTTAATTTAATTTTTTTAAAATTATATTTGTGTACCATTTTCCATCATCATAGCTTCTTGTGTTTCTACATACATATAAAGATCTCAAAATACTTGAATTAAATTACAATGCAGAAGGTGTTTGTTCCAAACTCCAAGCCTTACACACTACAAAAAAATTGACTTTTTGCGACGGTAAAATACCGTCGCTAATACTCCTACTGCCGTCACTAATACTTTTTGCGACGGCAAAATAACTTTTTGCGACGGCAAGAGGGGGGTCGCAACTGCAGGGGTTGCAAAAGAGTTTTTGCGACGGTAAGTGCCGTCGCTAATGTTTTGCGACGGCATTTTTACCTTTTTGCGACGGTACCGTGCAGTCGCTAATAACGTGTGAAATTTCTTGACTTTTTTGCGACGGCCCTATTTTACCGTCGCTAAAAACGTTATTTGAGACGACAAAAACACCGTCGCCAATAGTCTTTTTTTAAAAAAAAAACACTGTTTTTTGCGACGGGTGGTGCCGTCGCAAAAAGTATAAAAAATGAAATTTTCTATTTTTTGCGACAGTGTAATGCCGTCGCAAAAAATATTAAAAAATAATAAAATTTCTATTTTTTGCGACATATAATATCGTCGCAAAAAGTAAACCCTGTAACAAAATTAATAAAAATATTAAAATTTTTTATTTTTTCCGACGGTGGTGTCGTCTCTCTCTCTAAGAGCTAATTATTTACATTCCATTCACAAAAACATCATAACAGAAAATAAAAATAAAAATTAATCAAACCATTAAATTCAATATTTTACAAAGAACAATTAAATTGTACATGTTCATAAAAACATATTTAAATTATAAAATTCACCCAAATCCTAAAAAAAATAAAATAATAAAATAAAATCTAAAAGAAACATATTTAATTGAATGTCAGACTCTCTAAGTGACTGAGAATCTACAGGAGGATTTGATTTTGATTTTGCTGTGAGATTAATCCTGGGGGATCCAACATCTGAATCATCACCTCCAAAAGCCTAAATGAACAAAAAAACAAACATAATAATGAGGAAATAACAATGTCAGACCTGGTTAAATGTCTAAATAATAAAGAACAAATCACATTTTTTAAAGAAATAAACGAATGTTAAAAACAAATTATTACATTTTAAATAATTGTTGTTTCTATTCTTTGATCTGTGAAACTATTCAGCTAATCATTCAGCTCATATAATCTCTAAAGTGAGCACTAAATCCCTAGTCTTCCTCTTATTTAGTTTCTCAACCAAACCTGATCTTAAGGTACTGTTCTGAAGGCACTGTTCACAGCATCCCAAAGGACCCAAACAGTCCTTTCCTTCTTTAAAAACATGGATTTTGCTTCAGCTCAATTAAAGCAACCATATTTTTGGTACAAAATTCAGAAGTTCACATTCCTTTTACTCAACACTGGATATGAGGCATAATAATGTATTGGCCACACATGCAGCAATATTCAATAGAGTGAGAATGTTAATATTATGAGAACAAAGGCAAAATACTCAAAATGCAGGTGCAAAATTATAATAGTCTTTTGGCATTCCTTAATCTCAGAGATAAAATTGAAGCTATTCAGGAAAACTCATCATTGGAGATGCTAAATATGTAGAGGCACTAACTGAAGTAACAAAAACACAGAAATGAACTTATACTAATTCCAAAATTTTCCTGCTAAGATAGAAAGAAGCTAATGTAGTAGAAGATCCTACAAATCTACAGAATTATGTGATTAGTACCCTTTCCATTTGCATTTGGTTTGACATCTTTTTACCTACCAGACTTCCAAAACAAAGGTTTTAGCCATGACACTGTATACTCCACTCGTCAGTTTTTTCTGTCAATTTTTTCTATCTTTTATCGTACTGCTCTTCTACCACCAAACTAAATTATGTCATAAGCATGCTTATCATACATTTTGAAATGACTTCCATCTTTTTCTAAAAGAAAACAAAGAACATTTAGCTTTTATTTATTTATTTATTTTATCAAAAAGGAGGACATTTAGCTCTTCTATGGTTGAATTTTCACAAATCACCATGAACATACCCAAGACTACATTTCATCCACAAATGACTGAGCTTACACCTTTTCCTTTACACTTTGTTCCATGTGTTATTTTCCTATCTTACAGTTAATATTTAACTAAAAAGATAGTTGTGAATCCAAAGATGGTAATGAATGTTCAGATCTTTGAATGTTGTCTTGTTTTTGTTTTCTATTACAATTTGTTTTATTTTAATTAATATTAGGAAATTTAGTCATAAGTCCCTCAACATAATTGTGACAAGCGAATATTTTTTAATGTATAAAGTCCTTTAAAATTTATTTATCATGGATTAAGGACATAAAAAACATGCCTTTCTATTTTAGATGATTTTGCCCTTTCTATCTTCTATTACTTCTCTTTTCACATTCCAATGATCAACGTAGTCAAATCTCTACACACACACACACACATATATATATATCCTTCAACCTATAAATCTTGGTGATTGAAAACTTAACCCAAAGAGGTAAAAACTGTTCCCTAAATCAGCACTGTGCAAAGAGGCAGAGTAGTCAGTAGACCATCTTCCTATGCAGAGTGGCAGTGGGTGCATGATTTGGTTCTTTCCAATGCAATTACTTACAAAGCATGAAGTATTTTGTTGGCCCACAACGTAAAGATAGGAAACATACCCTTCTGTCCCAGTATGGAAGAAAGCAGACAAAACCATAGACTGGAGTAATGGTTGATACCAAAATAACATTGAGACCAGTAAACAACAATAGTGCTGAAATCTATTGAGACCAGTAACCCACTGTCCACACACTGAAATCTATTCAAATAATGTGTAGCTATGAGGAGAGTGTTATGATAAGATAGTGGTATTACAAGATAAGATGGAATAGCAAAAAAATAAAAATGAATACATTCAGGAAACTTAGAAGAAGCAGTCAGTGGCATGGCATCAATCAAAGATCAAAGGAAAGAAAAATGTCTAAAAAGATATGGTCAAGTACAGCATAGATCAATTACCACATGTACAAAAGAGGAGTGAACATGGGCTTTTAACAAAGACAGACTCAACTCAAGTGCAATGATCAATGGAACTGGGAAAACACACATCAGTAATAGATTAATATCTGTATTCCTCTTTTGTAAAAAACAAACACTCACAGAACCTGTACTGTACAGAACCACAACCATTCAAAAAGATGAAGTCAATGTTGATTAATGTGATGGACCAACAAACATTTTTGTGTAATGTTCACACTTATTTATCATTTATATTAACTTATATTTCATTCACTTTTATTTTATCTCACCTTTTACATGCTATTCAACAGAAACTTCCAAGAATCACAGAGAGAGCCTCAATCAACATTTGACTCCATATATGCTGCTGGTTGGACCATCAAGCAAACTCCAGACAATGCTCAGTCAACATTAGCCTCCATGAACTAGCGACAAATGCTACCCAAGACAAACAGAAAAGTTAGTATTTGTATGGGACTCCCTGGCTTACAATTCTCCATATTCCAAGCTGTAACTAAGCTGGACATTATTTTTCATTTTTTAATAGATAAAATTAGTAGCTTACAATAGATAAAAATATCAGTACACATAAAAGAAAAGATAAAAAAGTTCATTTCATGGTATATCACACAATATTACGGATATGCTATTGAATATGTGATTATCATAACAGTGATGTTAACTGGATCAAAAATTGAAGGCAGGGGAGCCGTGCTTAGTGCATCTGCTTAGCTTACAATTAATCAAAACGTAAATGGCTATATTCAGAATTTTCTAAAAATCAAGAACAACAATTGAAATTATAATAACACCGGGAATTCAATGTTAGGTATGAGCTGACAAAAGCAAATTAGATGAAATAAAAGGAAAATTACCAAACCAAACATAAAGATCTTCTCTATCAATTACAGTGAAGTAAATGGAATTGAGATCTGAATCAGAAAAGGGGAATTGGGTCTCTTATAGCAGAGGGAGATTAGACTGACCATTTTGCGCCAAGGAGGCCTCTGTTGAAGAGTTGATTCAAAAGCGACATTTAAGCCTCAACCAAGACGATCGATAAAGCTTTGATTGATTGTTGATAGCAGATTGATCGATCAATCTCATAAAGCTAATGTGGGTTTTTCTTCTAGTTACAGATGCAAAGAGGCTGGTATGAGTAGCAGTACTAGGCAGATCTGTATGGGAAAAACAGATGAAGAAAAAAAACAGATCATATATATATATGTAACAGATCAAAAACCCCCCTATATACAGATGTATATATATATGTGTGTGTGTATGAAAACCCCCTATATCCGAAATCCCGACACAGAGAGAGAGAGAGAGAGATACCCTTTGAAATCGGCGGTGAGGGAAGATCGCCGGTGAGGGAGAAGTGGCGGTGAGGGGCGAGCAACCGTTAACGTCGTTTGTGAGAGAGAGAGAGAGGGAGGCAGCAGCGGCGATAAGGGAGAAGGATCAACAGTGAGGTACGAGCGACGGTGAGGGAGGATCGGGAGTGAGGGAGGATCGGCGGTGACGAATGATCGGCGCCGTCGTTGTGTGAAAGAGAGAGAGAGAGGAAGGCGAAACCCTAGATGGAGAGAGAGACAGAGAGCGAGCAGGAGGAGAGGAGACGGCTTGTTGTGTTTGTGTTGTGTGTGTTCTCAAACAAAACCCTACACACACCCACAAATATGTATTTAATGAATTTTTTATTAAAATAAAAAATTATTAAAATAATTTTTATAGTTGATGAATTCTTTTTTTTCATTTGGTAAAGTTAAAAATTTATTTGTTTTATATTTATTTTAATGAATAAAAAATTAGTTTTTTTTTTTATTTGGTAAAAGTAGGAATAATATTTTCCATTAAAATAAAGTTAATTTTTTGTGGTCAATGAAAAAGAGAGAAGATAGATGAGAGAAGAGATAAATGAATGAGAGACACAGAGAGAGAGAGAGAGAGAGTCAAATAGACAGAGAGAGAGAGAAGAGTAATGAATAAGAGAGAGAAAGAAAAGAGAGAGAAGAAGATGAAAAAATGGGTGAAAAGATATAGACAAAGAGAGAGACAGAGAGAGAGAAAAAAAAAGCGAAAATAGATAAATAAGAAAGAGAGAGACAGACAGAAAGAGATGAGCGAGAGAGCGAGCGAGAAAAAAATAAGAGAGAGAGAAGAGAGACAGAGAGAGAAGATATATGAAAGAGATAGAGAGAAGAGAGATGGACGAGAGACATAGAGAAAAAGAGAGAGATAGACAGACATAGAGAAAAAGAGAGAGATAGACAGATAGAGAAGACGACTTTTCTAAATTTTTGCTGATATTTCTTCACCATACCCTCCATCCTCACCTACCCAAGAGACGACGGGTGTCGGAGGGAAAGTCGGAGGGAGGGAAGAAAGGGTAGTCGAAGTTGAGAGAGGAGAGAGAGAACCAGAGGTTTCGCCATTTGTGAGAGAGATATGTGGTTCGAATGGCATCAAGAGTGGGGAGAAATGAGGGGATGAGGAGGAGGATGAGGTCCGGGAAGTCATTTAGGTTAGAAACGGTGGTGGAGAGAGAAAGAGAGAGAAACAAAAGAGTGAGAGACAAACAAACAGACATAGAGAGAGAAAGAAAGAGAGAAAAGTGATAAGTGAGAGAGAGATAAAGAGAGAAAGAGATATAGAGAGACAGAGAGACAAAGAGAGAAAGAGATAGAGAGAGACATATAGAAAAATAGAGAAAAACAAGAGATGAGAGAGACATATAGAAAGAAAGCGAAAAGAGATGAACGAGAGAGAGAATAGAAAAATAGAGAGATAGAGAGAAGAGAGATGAGCAAGAGAAACAGAGAGAGAAAAAAGAGATGAGCGAGAGAGACAGAGAGAGAAAAGAGATGAGAGAGATAGAGAGATAGAGAGATGAGCGAGAGAGACATAGAGAGAAGACAAATGAGAGAGATAGAAAGAAGAAAGATGAACGAAAGACACACAGACATATAGACAAACAGACAGACAAACAGACAGAGAAAGAAGAGTGATGAGTGAAAGAGAGAAAGAGAAGAGTGGTGGTAGTTAAATGGCATTTGCAGTAGTGGTAAATGTGGTAGAGAAGATGGGTGGTGAGAAAGAGAGATGAGTGAGAGACGAATAGAGAAAAGAGATAGAGAGACAGAGAAAGAGACAGAATGATGAGCGAGAAAGAGACAAAGTGGTCGCTAAAAATGCATTTTCTTGTAGTGGATCGATAAATCGAAAGGGAGCTCAATAAATAAAGAAGACAGATAATTCAAAACTCTTTTCAAAACTTAATTCAAATCAATTTTTTAAATATTTTAAAAATATTTTAATTTTGTGAGAGACAGATAAAGAGGAGAGATAGAGAGAGAGAGAGAGACAGAGATAGAGTGATGAGCGAGAGAGAGAAAGATAGACAAAGTGGTTGCTAAAAGTGCATTTTCTTATAGTGGATCGATAAATCGAGAAGGAGCTCGATAAATAGAGAAGATGGGAGTAAGAGAGTAAACAAGGCAAACATAGTGAGGGAGAAATAGACAAATAGACAAGTAGACAGAGAGAGAGTGAGAGAAGAGTGATGAGTGAGAGAGAGACAGGAAGAGAGAGATAGACAGAAAAAGAGATAGAGAGAGAGAGAGATGGAGAGATAGAAAAAGAGAGAGAAACAAGAGATAAGCGAGAGATAGACAAAAAGAAAGAGAAATAGAGCGAAAAGAGATGAGCGAGAGAGAGACACAGAAAAAAAGAGAGACAGAAAGAGAAGAGAAATGAGCGAGAGAGATAGAGAGAGATAGAAAGATAAGAGAGAGAGAGAGAAAAAAAAGAAATGAAAGAGATAGAGAGAAGAGAGATAGGCGAGAGACACAGAGAGAATGAGAGAGAGAAACAGGCAGACATAGAAAGAAGAATGATAACTGAAAGAGATAAAGAGAAGAGAGAGAGAGATAGAGACAGAGAGACGGGAAGATGAAAAAATGAATGAAAGGAGAAATGGTATATCAAAAGAGTAAGACGACATTGTTTTTTTTAATTTTTTTTGCGACAGAAAAATACCGTTGAATTTATTCAAACCATTTTGTGACTGTATAGATATGAAGCTATCTCAAAACCACAATCACTATGCTAGGTTAGAGTTTTCCAAAAACTCTTTTGAGAAAATTAAACTTTCTTGTTTTCCGTGTTATATTGTTTTTACTGAATTTTTTAAATATTTTAAGTATTTTTTAAAATTTTTAGACACACCTAACATAAATACACCTAAAAATTAAAAAAATTGTAAAAAAAATCTTTTAAAAATTCACTAAATACCAAAAATACAATAATTCAATACATTTTTTTGTATTTTTATGTATTTATTAATTTTTAAAAATACTTTTTCATAATTTTTTTATTTTGTAGATACATCTAAGTAAGGTACATCTAAAAAAATATTTAAAATTTTAAAAATATTCACTAAAAAAAAACACGAAAGTCACTTTTTGCGACGGCAGAAAATGCCGTCTCAAAAAAGCAGAGTATTTGCGACGGCACCATTTATCGTCTCAAAAAAGCAGAGCATTTGCGACAGCACTATTTGCCGTCTCAAAAAATGAGAGTATTTGCGACGGTATTTAGTGCCGTCGCAAATGCTCTGCTTTTTTGAGACGGCAAATGATGCCGTCGCAAATACTCTGCTTTTTTGAGACGGCATTTTCTGCCGTCGCAAAAAGTGACTTTTTGAGACGGCAAGTGTGCCGTCACAAATAATTCCGTCTCATATACCCAGTTTTCTTGTAGTGACATTTCATTCATTGGAGATGAAAATCGAACTTCTGAAACCATTATCACTTGGAATGATAAAGCTTCTGATAAAGACAATAATGGACATCAATTAGGGACCTCTAGATCAGCTTCTGTCACTATAGAATCCGATTTCTTCTGCGCAACCGGTATCACCTTTGAGGTACAAACCCATATCTATTTTGTTTTTATATTTTTTAAAACAAAAACCCCAAAACACAACAACTCTCATCAATGATGTGGTATGCCAGAACTCAGTGGTTGCAATCCCTAGAGCCTATGGAATGCAAGCAGTAGCATTAAGGTTAGCCGCCGATAAAGCCATGTTGTTCAAAGTTAGGGTCTTGGGGACACAAGACACACTTCTAGACGATTACGGATCACATTATTTTTATCAGTGTTACATTCAAGGTTCTATTGATTTCATATTTGGTAAATCTCGATCGCTCTATCAGGTATCATTCAAATCCTCACTATCTGTATATGAGAATCATATGTCCAATATGTTTCTTGATAATGATTTGTAGAATTGGATTTCTTAAACTAGGACTGTGTTCTTCACTCAACAGCTGAAAGATTTGGAGCAATTGCAGCTCATCATAGAGATTCACAACATGATGATACAGGGTTCTCTTTTGTAAATTGCACAATTAATGTATCAGGAATTGTCTACCTGGGAAGAGCTTGGGGAAATTACTCGCGAGTAATATACTCATACTGTGATATCGACAATATAATAACTCCATCTGGGTGGAGCGACTGGAATCAACCATCTAGGCAAAAGTTTGAATCTTTTCTTATTAAAGAAAACAAAAAATGAAAAACGGAAACGTGTTAAACTATTCAAAACTTTGAAATATAATTCGAGTTTGCAATTACAGGACTGTAATGTTTGGAGAACACCACTGCAGAGGGAGAGGAGCAGATAGAAGAAATAGAGTGCCATGGTCAAAGTCCCTGAATTATGAGGAAGTAAAACCATATTTGAATGTGACATTTGTAGCTGGAGAGCAATGGTTAAGACTATAGTAGTACTATTTTCATGTATTTATGCAATCATGCATATTGAGGTTCGAGTATTCGGGCATTTTTTTATTTATATTTATATTAAATGACAAAATAGTCGTTAGCACAAAATTTTTGATCACTTCGTGTTTTGAATTTGTGTATTGTTTGAATGTGATTGTATGTATGAGAGTGAATTGTTGTATTGTTTATAGGGTGTTTTTGGTGACCATTTGTGAAGTTGCAGAGGTGGCCATGTAGTAGGGGCTACTGTGACCCTGGTTTGGTGGTGCCATGTTGTGCACTTGAGAAGTTGAGGGTGGAAATAATAAAAAGTGTTTCATTACATATATTAGACATCAAAAATATTTAAAAGCATTAAATGTAGAGTTTTTAGAGCTCTACTTATGTGACAGTGAATCTCACTCATGAATGATTTGATATATATGCTTTATTTTTTTTAACTTCATGTCATATCATTAGAGTCATTGTTAGAGTTCCAAATTTTAGAGTTATGAATCATTATTCATTAGATATTGGGGTAAGAGTAAATATGACATTTTAACAAAACTAAATGTTAAAACATGAGTAAATTTTGCTAGATGACTCAACAGTGAGTTTTTTTTTTTTGTCATGTGATTAGGAGAATATAGTGTGTGTATATATATATAGAATAATGCTTGGGACCCCCTTTTGGGGGCTACCCCCTCACCCTCCTTTGCCACGTGGCTGGTGGTGATTGGAGGAGTAGGAAAAAAAAGAAAAAGAAAAAGAAAATGTAACCAATGAGAGAGAGAGGGGGTCAAAGGGGGTGGGAGGAAAAGGGGGGATGAATCATTGTTAATATATATATATAGGGCCTTGCTACATCCCCTAAAAATACCCCCCCTAATCTCCCTAATTTCCATATCAAGTTAAAAAAAAAAAAAAAAAAAAGGAAAAAGTTGCCCAAATTGGAAATTAGAGGGATTAGGGGGGATATTTTTAGGGCTCTAAATCATTTTCCATATATATATTGCACAGAATAGTGCGTCCACAATAGTTAAATTGCAGTATAAATCACACCTTAAATACATATTTTCATAATACATGTTAATTTTTTTAAAAAAAAATTACTTAACAAAAGAATTTGTAAAAATTAATTACAAAATATAAAATAATTTATAATTTTACTTTTCAATATTTGTAATTTTATCATTAATTTAAAAATAATTTTTCAATATTTGTAATTCTCAATTGAATTGTAATTTCCCAATTTTTTAAACAATTGATAAGAATTGGAAATTAGGGGGATTAGGGGGGATATTTTTAGGGCTCTAAATCATTTTCCATATATATATTGCACAGAATAGTTTGTCCACAATAGTTAAATTGCAGTATAAATCACACCTTAAATACATATTTTCATAATACATGTTAATTTTTTTTAAAAAAAATTACTTAACAAAAGAATTTGTAAAAATTAATTACAAAATATAAAATATTTTATAATTTTACTTTTCAATATTTGTAATTTTATCATTAATTTAAAAATAATTTTTCAATTTTCAATTGAATTGTAATTTCCCAATTTTTTAAACAATTGATAAGTATATATTTTTTAATATATACATATGACAAACATTAAAAAAAGACCCACCACAATTGTAATTTTTAGGAAGAGAAGGTTGATGTAATTATTATTACAATAATGCTAAGTAGTTCGAAAAATTATGATTCAAATGGTTCGAAATACTCAAAACGATGTTATTTTAGATGTAAAACGACGTCATTTTGACACATTTAAACTATTCAAACTATAAAAATTCAGACTACCAAATATTTTCCATCTTATTATTATTACAATACTTGCATTCTTGGAAGGAAGAAATTTCGTGGAAATTAACTTTCAGACTTTGACATAGACGTTGACTTTTGTACAAAGACAAAGTAGCTAGCAAGTAGAGCAAATATGCAGAGTATAGGAACGAGTAGGAATGGCAATGGGGGGCAATGGGGTGGATATTAATTCCCCATCCCCATTCCCCTATAATAAATTTTCCCCATTCCCCATTCCCCATTCCCCATGGGTACCACCCTCCCCATTTTTAAATGGGTATGGATTTTCCCCAACCCACTTTAATCCCCATTTTTATTTTTTATATTTAATGTTAACAACCATTTTTTTTTTTTTTTTTTTTTTTTTTTTTTTGAAATGGCGTTTCTACTACCAACCAAAGCCAACCCACACAATGACACACACACCAATGGCCACACCCACAACACTCAAGCATTGAAATAATATAATTTTTATATATAATAATAATTTATAATAATTAATTATATAATTTTTATAATTTTCGTAAATATAAATCATTTTTCACTTGAAACAATTGCTTTCATCATGCCACAGTGAGTTATCCGAACGTCCTGCAGTTTCCTTAAAAAAAAATTAAAATGATTCAAACATTGAAACCAAACATAGCCTTAGGGTTTTAAAATTGAAAATGAGGGTAATATTGGAATATAGATATGTGTACTAAAATTTATATTTTTATAATGTGTGCATTGAGAAAGTGTTCATTAAATATATGTACTTAGATGAATTAGGGGGATTCTATTTACACCCAAAAAATCAATAATGTTGTGTTTGGTTGGGGGATTTGGAAAGAGATTTAGAAAGGGAAAGAAAAATGGTGTGTGAAACTAAGTGAAATATAGGTATGTTTTGTTCACATTTCATCTACCTTTTCCGTTTTCTTTTCCAAATCTATCCTTAAATCCACTAACCAAACACAACATAAGTACTCCAAATTTCTAAGTACATCCTATTTAATAATTTAAAATTTTATTTTACTCTCATTACACCCTATTATTTTTCCTGACTTTCCCTCAAGGTAAACCCAAATAATAAATAAAAAACAAACTAAAAAAATTAAATTATTTCAAATCTTTTCAATACAGAAAATAATTCTCAAATACAGAAAAAGAAAAAACAACCAAACTTATAAGCACATAAGCATTATAAATACAGAAAAAAAATTAAACTTTTACATATAAGCATTATAAAACTTTTCAATATATATAAAAAAAAAAAAAAACTTTTACATTATAAATTATCCACAAGAATGTTCGTGGAAAGGTAAAAACTAAACTTATAAGCACATAAGCATCATGCACTAACATGAAAGAGTGGTTCTCAAATAATGTACTATTTAAATGACAAAATAAGAACAATTCCAATAATATGTTATTCTTAATTTAGTTACTAGGTCCTTTAATTTTTGACAAAAAACGATATTGAAAATAATTGATGGTGCTCTACAAAAATTATAAAACCCCTTCATATGAATACTTACATCATTTTTTATGGGTTGCTTCAAAAAAAACTATTTTGATTACTGCTCTCATCCATTATTTGTGTAGCAATCCCGGTTTTGATCTTACTTTCATGTTTTGCCACTTTGACTAGGCAGGTCGGGGATCGAGCTGCACGGTCAGCTCGCGAGGGTCCAGGGGGCAGCGCCCCATGGCGGGTCCAACGGCAGCGCCTTGGCAGGATTGAGGGGTAGCACCCCCAAAGCAAAAATACAAAATGCATTCGAAGTTGCTTGAGCCGCACATGTGGAAAATAGGGGAGGGCTTGTTTGGCCACTGCAATAAATGCAGGTGTGGGAGTGCAAGTGCGGGAGAAGCGTCGCACGTCCGGTGGTAGGTGAGTTCAAAATTTTAGTCTTTTCTTCTCTTTAGGCTGAGTGTATCTCACTCTTGTTAGGGCTCTGTCTCTTTAAAAACCCTTTCATCTCCCTTCTCTCTACATTTCCTTACACCAAATTGAATCAAAACTATGATTTCTCAAGATCCATTAGAGTTCTGCCATAGTTTCTTCATCAAAGTTGGTTAACTTTTTGAGGGCTTCGTTGTGTGCAGTGAAGATCGAGTTTCAACACTGTTGATTTTGGGGATTTCATCTCATTTCTGGGTTTAGATCGGAGAGAGAGAGAGAGAGAGGGGACAGTTTTGATTGGGGAAATGTAGGGTTTGGTTGGTATATATATAGATATGGGTAATTTGATCATTTTGTTGAAACTTGTCTTTATGAACAATATATTTTATAATATAGGCCTTTGGATAACAAACATTTAAAATTAAATTTATGGATCAAACGTGGGTAATTCTATTTTCACACACCAATTCTCTTCAGTTCACACATTTAATGAAAATTTTCATTAATACAATTTTGTCCTAAAATAAAAATGCTACAATACCCTCCTTTTCTTCTACCTAAACCCTAATTCTAAAACATTACAACCATTTTTTATCGCCAGTGCCACCTCTCTCATTTGTCTTCCCCTCCCATCACTTCTTTTCCTCTTCACCTGTTGATCACTTTCTGCCATGAACTATACACTTCCACAAGTCTTCCACCATGAATCACTCAAGATTGACTATAGAGGTCTAGGATAGAGGGGAATGAGCTAGAAGTGGCGGTGGTGGTAGCGCTGGAGGGTTGAAAGTGGCGACAACGACAATAAAGAAGGAGTGAAAAACGAGAGAGACTAGTAAGTTCTGTTATCTCATCAATCAAAATCCCCCAATCTCTTGAGTAAGGGATTTGGTAGTACACCAACCAAACAGTTAACAATGGTTTCCTCTATTGTTCCATCTTCATCTCGATCTCGATGGACATACGATGTGTTCTTGTGCTTTAGAGGCGAAGACACTCGCAATAACTTCGTCAGCCATCTATACGCAGCATTGGCTTAGAAGGGAATTCATATCTTCAAAGACGATGAAAAGCTCAAAAGAGGAAAATCTATTTCTCCGGAACTCCGGAAAGCGATTCAAGAATCTAGGTTTTCAATTGTGGTTTTGTCCAAGAACTATGCTTCTTCCAGATGGTGTTTGGATGAGCTTGTGGAGATACTTGAATGCAGCAACACAACTGTTTATCCGATTTTCTATCACGTGAATCTATCGGATGTGCGACGCCAAAGAGGGAGTTTTGGGGGTGGATTTGAGGAATTGGTGTCCAAACAGGAAGT